CAACTTAGCCACATATCACCACATACTAAGTTATACTATTCTAGCTTTTCCTTACACAACATATATGAATGTATACGAAAGATATATGTATATATGATCAAGAATATAACAGAAAATGAGAATTAGTAATTTCATCTTCTCATCAGCCCACCGCTTCATTACACTAGTACAAGCCCTGAGATAGCCGGGTCAAAAGGTTAGCTAAAGCCATCCACATCACTGAGTAAGCCGTAACCCTACCGTCAACAATCGGTAGAAAGTAGCAACTCGGGCATTGCTCCAGTACTAATCACTTTGAAAAATGTGATGGATTTGATGTCTCGTGAATTTCAAATTCACTTCTGAATCTAACATGTGTAAGTACCAATTGTTGGGAAAAAATCGAAGTAATATATCGAAATAACTAAAGTATTTTTGTCAATATCTTGCACTAATTAAAGTAAACTAATAAAACGGAAACTAATGACATAATGATTGTCTTATTTAGAATATTTTACAGAGAAGTGATTCAACTGCACAGAAATAAAATAGATGTTTTTCCACATCTTAATTAATGAATCATCATCCAATTCCCACTATACTGTTGTAAAAGATATCCGATCTGATATAAACTATTGACAATCTTCAATTAGCTAATAAGCATCTGATGCGTCGTGAAATAATAATGACTGCCAGATAATTTATTTGCCGAGCTCAGAGATTAGGTAATTAAATTCCAATCAAATCTATTCAAATAAAGCGCTAACTTAGTGCGAAAGGGTTTGTCAGGAAGTCGATTTGTCTTCTGAATACGCAACAGTAAGGGATATTAACCTTTATATCGTGAGAAGAGATTGATATGAAGTCGATATCCTTGGAAGAGGAGAGAGGAATCCCCCCCCCCCTCCCTGGTTTGGGACCAAGATTATATGTGTTAAGAAATGGGAGTGGTTTACATGAAGAGTTCAAGTACCGGAAACACACCGGAAATGGCACAAGCATTATAACAAGATTAAACAGAAAGATTAGCATAGGAAATTAAGGGTTTAAACATAAAGATGCAAACTGATTAAATAAGATAACAACAAAAAAGTGTGGGAAATAATTTTAAGGAATGTAGATATGTTAAAAGTGATTCACAGTATCGTTAGCATTAATTTACAATGTGAATGAATTTATTTGAGGTTTCGTTTTCACGACATGATGTAACAATTTGGCTTATGCAAAATGATGAGAATTACTGAGTATTACTGACTGAGTATTACTGAGATTACTGACTTTTACAATATTTTAGTGAATAACTTAAGTGCAATAAAGATGAGCTAATTTGTTCATTCATGAAAAGTTGCTTCATTTGATTTAGATGATATGTGTGACATTTGTATCTTTCCTGTGTTAAATCGAAATTTACTGTTTCAAATCACCTGAATGATTTGGGGATATATTAGCAATTATTTCCAGCATATAAATTGTCCTATTGCACTGACTAATGAGTAGAAGTGTTTGAGAATGGATGCAAGGATAACAATTTAAATTATCGTTATCATTATCATTATAATCCTCAATGAAACAATCGTATGTTTATTGCATTCGAATATATTCATCCGTTTTCCATCAAAACCAATCTACAGTATTGTTGTTCGGTTTTACAAAACTAACACGATGTGGTTCCTTTTCATTAAAGCCAGTCTACAGTATGCTTGTCCTAATCATTTTGAAAACGCTTTGATGATTTCCATCTAGACATTTTCCATCCTCCTTCTGAATTCATAACTGATAAGTGATATCACTAAAAATACTATTCTGCTTTCAAAATATAATGTGCATTCTATACAGTATCAATATAGTATCTTACAAACACAATATGCATTCTATACAGCATCAATATAGTATCTTACAAACACAATATGCATTCTATACAGCATCAATATAGTATCTTACAAACACAATATGCATTCTATACAACATCAATATGGTATCTTACAAACAAAATATGCATTCTATACAGCATCAATATAGTATCTTACAAACACAATACGAAATTTAGAAGCGTTTACTGTCGGATTACCGAAATTTAAGCTATGTTCAAATAAAATTTCCACAATATCTAACAAACAGGATGATGAAATCTTGCAAGTAAAATTAAAGCAATGAAGAGGATATAAGCTAACAATGGAGAGCATAACACAAAGACATCTCAGTATCTGTACCATGGACAATGATATTATTGCACCTACACAATAAGCAATGTCAAAAGGCAGCCATAC